AGAGAGAGAGAGAGAGAGAGAGAGAGAGAGAGAGAGAGAGAGAGAGAGAGAGAGAAATTATATCTTGTGATCTTAGTGTTGTAAACAGTAGCGCTCACCTGTCGCGATTGAAAAATCAAAACGAGGAATATTGCGGCAAAGTCAATTATATCCATCTGCGAAGACTCGATATGTCGCCTTAAATTGTCGCTGGATCGATTCGAGACACATGCGACGGAGACAGAAAACGAAAAATAAAAGTTCCATTAAGCCAAACAGGAATCCGCCCTCGCCCCGGGCGTAATTTCTCTCGAACGATCGGGGTCGACGGGAGCGAAACGGGGCAGAGGAAAGAAAGGGAGGAAGTTGCAGGGTTTCCTTTCATTTGATCAATTTTTGTTATTCATAACGGGAAAACCATAAGGACTGCAAGCTTGTGGATCCTGTGGAATATTTTTAATTTATTACTGGGATAAGAAATTTACTTTTCCGTTGTCAATAACAATTGCAAGGTTTAAGCGGTTCACTTTTTGCGGTACTAATGCTTATATCAACAAACATTACTTGAAACTTGAGGTATACTCAAGAAACTCATGTTTGAATTTAGAGTTGAGTGATCGCGCGTGATTAAAGCTACATGGATAGACTGCGGGGCTTGATAAAGAAAGAAAATAAAGTTTCGAACAAATCATGCAGAGTTTTGTAAACTCCCCGTAGCGAAGAAGAACATACCTTGCTTTTAGATAATTATTGTCAGCATTATTAGCATTGCGCAAAGAGAAGTCGTTGAATCGTTTTCCCGAGATCAATAAGTCTCTATTATGGTTCTGCCGCTGATTCAAATGAGAGTGATTGAAGAACCGTCTTGTCGTTTTAATTCGCCTTTGGACATACGAGATTTTGCCTATCGTTCGTGAGAATAATCGGCATCGAGCCGGCGCAACACGTCGCTTGAGGGTTTTCAACGTGGTTGCGCGGCGCGTCAGTGTGAAAATGCTCCTTTCACCCGGATTCTGGCGCGGGAATGTCGTTGAACGACGAACGACGGACGACGAAAGAACGATAGAACGCATTCGCCGGCGGATTCTCTCGATCCGTTCGAATACTTCGTCGAGCTGATTTCGCGTGAGCGAAATTTCTTCGAATGTTTGTGAATTTGGTCAAATCGCACGACCAGCAGGATGTTTTACTTAATCCTGGAGTCCTGAACATGGGTGAAACTTGCCAAAACATTACCGTTCTTAAAAACATTAAAAATCACAATACCTCCATGTTTTTTACACAGATTAAGAAAATATTAGTTTTCGATAACTTTTCCGGAAGTTTTAAGCGAATGAAAATGAAAGCTTTAGGGCCGATTGTTCCAACCTTTTGGTAAGCTATCTGACAGTTAAATCTGTCTTCGTTTCTTTCTTCAAATTGGACAGAGACAGATATATGATTTACCTGTAAGGTAACTTACCAAGAGATTGGAACAATCGGCCCTTAGCCATGTTTACGTTAGTTTTTCATGTTTAGAATTAATAAAAGTTAATAAAGCGATGGGAATCATCGGCGTTTGCTTAGGAATTCTTATTATTTCGGTGGCGCCGGTGCGAATGATTGATGCATTAACACGTGAGGTGGTGGCGAGGTGGTCGATTATTGACGAAATTACGTCCGTGGTAGAGTCCGTGGTTGTGCTGCGTCTTGTCGGTCCCGGACTACACCCGGTGAAATCCAGCCGGCCGCGAGTTAATTGGACTACTTACATATTCCGGTCCGCAGGAATTTTTCACCGCTCGCACGCTCACGCGAAAGATCACGTAAACGCGGATGTAAAGCGGCCGAGTGAGCGAGCGGAGAACGGTGGTGCGCCGGCGCACGCGCAAAACGCAAACTCGAACGCACGCGATTTTTCTCGCGCTTCGATCCTGCGGAAAAAATCGCGAGAACGGACAA